ACATCATTTATATATTTTAAGTATTTTAGAAAGTTCAAATACTATAGGTACCTACTAAACTTTCTTGAAAGCATCGTGAAGGATTTTTGTCCAGTAAAGCGTTCGCACACAGCCAACGAAAAAATTAAATGATCTCAAGGTGCAACACAACAATCCCGTATTTGGATTTATTACGGAAATGTGTACCAGCGTATGGTTGTTCCAATTTATAATGTACAATATGAATGTAAGTGAAAGATGGACTTCCCATGCCCATGGAATCCACTCCCAAACCGGAGAAAAAACATATTTCATTGCCTATAGGTCATGTATCGCGTTCGGACTTTCGCTAGATTATTCCCAATGACTCTTAGATGTGTAACAATTCAATATAGCTCTTCTCTGTGGTATAGGTCAAAAGTTTTAGAGCAAAATGTACCCAAAATTATTCTTTACACATAAATTTGGAGTTGTAATCTTGATGCTAAAAGAGTACATCACGTGCACACTTGATAACTATACATGTGTGTGATTCAAATATGTTAAATTATTTTATTTGTTACTCAGTTGTAAACGTTGATTAACAAGACAAAACGCAAATGGGTAAACGTCATGTTTAAACGCTACTGACTTGTAAAACTGACAGCAGACCTGTAAAAATTTTACAAGTTAGTAATCTAGTAATTTCATTGGCCAGAATTAATGCAAAGTCTCTGTTACATGGATAACATGATATTTTAGACATTTCTTCAAGATCAATTTAAGAACTAATTATTTACGTTTACAAATGAGTAACAAATAAAATATTGTACATTATACGCCAGGTAATAGTTTTTACTGGCTCTAGGAGATGACATAGGCTCGCCTAACGGCTCGCCAGTCAACTTCTCCTATCGCCAGTAAAAACTCACTTACCTGGCTAATAATGTAAAATACTATTTCTGAAGCCACATCGATTTTGATCAAAATACGTCAAAATCGTTATTTATGCTGATGCACCAAGATCGTTGGGAAAAAGACTAGGGGCAATCATTCCAATTCTGTAACTAACAAGTTTGCAATATTGCTAACTATAGCAAGATTGCTCACACAAAATTCTAGCAATATTATGAGCAATAATAAAAAAAATTTTCTATTTCGGTGTCACAATGATGATTTTGTACAACTGTTTTCGACCGAAAACAGTTGTACAAAGACAGTGATTATAGTCGTTTTTTTTTTGGTAACTCATCTCTTAAGTTGGCAGTTATTAGTTAGTACGAGTAGGTACTTCGTACTTCGTTGGGTACTTCCATGGTTTGAACTTCAAAATGTCAGTCTTACTACGCTGCCAACCTAAAACTTAACGGCATAAAAAGTGTTCCCAACATAAAACAAGTTAGTTCTAATGTTCCCTATAGTTTCTGATAATGATTTTTTTAATTAAATTAAAGCACCGAAATAGAAAAAATAGTATGAAAAACGCGTGTTACAATGCTTTATTGTAATACGACTATCTTGTGGCACGAGTGGCGACGCGAGTAGGTCGCATTGTAAACTTTTTAGCGCATTTTTGCAAAAAATTTTTTTTGTAAAAAGTAGCTTTTAATCTCACTTTGGCTGGCTGGCTGGCTGGCTGGCTGGCAGTAAATGCGCGCCCGTAGAAAAATGCTTGTAAAAAGACAAGGAGTGTACATGTAACTATCGGGGCTGTGTAATTAAGAACGTTAGGGATGGGGCTACAAGATTTGGAGACGACGATATCTGGACGTCATCCCCGAGCGTATTATACTAACCTGAAGATTTTTCAGTTTTTATCTATCTTCTTCTACAGTTTTTCTCCGATTGTTTTCAAATTGGTGTCGTCGGGAAGATCTTGTCAACGCGCACAACTCCTGCGTGGCGGAATTTTGTTTTTTTTCCTAGGGGCGAAATAAACCACTTTTTGCGCGGCGCGCTTCGAGGGGTAGTCGACTTTGGGCGCCCAAAAGTTTCTTACAGCGCGAATCGCGGTCTCTCTTTCTCGTGTCACTAATAGAAGGTCGAGCTATGTGAAGTACCCAAAAGTTGAATACGATTTTATGCCGGGATTTTAGCGAAATCTACCAAAATGTAAATTACGAATGAACGGGACGTCGGAACTGTGTATCGACAAAGGGAAAGTGGTAACCCCCGACGAGATCTTACTGATGGTGGAGTCGAAACTTCAAATCCTAATTGTTGCGGGTGATCAGAAGTGGGTGTCGACAAAGGGAATATGGTAACCCCCAAAGGATTTTACTGATGGTGGAGTCAAAACTTCAAACGCGAATTGCGAGTGCACGGTAAGTGAGAATATGGTACCGACAAAGTGAACGTGGTAGCTTTCGGCAAGATCTTATTGATGGTGGAGTCAATATTGGCTAATAAAACACTGATCTGCCACACAAAAATGCGCTGAAGTCCCTTCGATCTCACACGAGGACTTTGATCATTTTTAATTATAAGATTTTGATTTAAGTTTAACCCATTAGGCGCGTTGTGACTTTACAAGGGACATATGCGACTTGTAATTTGTATTTTCTCGCCATGGAAAATACAGATACCAAAGAGCGTGGCGCTAGAACAACATAGGAGCAACATTCCATAAGTGTGGACAGTTTAGAAAACAAGTAGAAAAGCTTTCACCCTAAGGCGAGTAACTTTAGCGCATTTTTTATGCATTGGTCAGTAGTTCCCAAAAGGTCACAGAATGGACATTGCGCATGCAATTGTTACGATTTTTCTTGGTTCAGGTGCCCAATACGATTATGTTTCCTAGAAGCATCTGTTATTAAAATTTCTCTATAAATAAGAAATAAGAAGAAATTAAAATAGAAAATTAAGACTCAAACATTTTTATTTCTAAAAGCGATCGATTTCGACGCACCACGTCATCATCTCGTCGAAATCGATCGCCTTTAGAAATAAAAATATTTTTCAATTTTAATTTCTCTAATGTATCTAACTCAAACATAACATGGAGACTGGAGTACCTACTTCATCAACAAAGAAATAAGAAATTTAGCAGTTGCGCAGTTTGCACATCTGAGTTTACAATATGCGATATGCTTATCTTTACTAGAGAAAATTTCAAAAAAATATCTCTATAAATAGGAAAGTCCACATTGCGCCGTTTAATCGCTACCGAATGCAATAAGAACGAACTAAATATCTTGAACTGTAGGAGTAGTTAAGGCCTCGGACAGACGGACAGAGAAAGTGGCTGCAATAGCGCACCCAATTCTGTGGAAAATGCGCTAAAAATGCCATGCCATGTTAGTTCATGAAAGAACTGCTCCAAACGATATTAAAAACTAGATGAATTATGGGAAGAATTTAATCTTCAAACTAGTTTGTCTTTTTAATCTTTCTACATGCCCCGAGCCCCAAGCCGTTGAGCTCTGTTTCAAGTGTAACCAGACGGGCACAAGTACGTCGATTGCGCTTTGAAAAGAGAAAATCAATCGAAAAAGTTAGTGATTATATACGGAAAGAACACCATGAAATGTAAATGATCTCGAAAAATATTTAAGAAAAGTGGAGATTCATGTGGGAGAATACAACGCCCTCATCGATCCGGGAAGTACAGTATGTACGATTAAGGCCGGTCCTACATTGGAAGCGGAATTTCTCCCGACCAGACGGCCTGAGTGGATCTGGTCGGGTCACCAGACGGCCTGAGTGGATCTGGTCGGGTCTGAAGAAAACAAACACCGTTGCCTCTCCTACATTGAAGCCAGTGCACGTTCCTGGGGGGAGAGTCGAGTCTAAACTGGTCTGACAACAATCAAACAGGGTTTTTCTTCCAATTGCATGGAAGTTTTGGTGAAAACTAGTTCTTTTTTTCTCCAGCCTATTTCTGTTTTTACACGGTGAACTACCATTTCCAAAGTTTATTCTTGCAACGTAATTTATTTCGACTATATTTTCGAACTTTCACAATCTTAATAATAACAATCATTACTAAATAAACTTTTCATAATTTCAATGTTTTCTTTTACGTTCCTTCCCAACCGTACTTCAGGTCATAGCGTTGTTTACAACTAACGTAAAGGAGTCCTGCTTTAGATGTTTAATCACGTCCTAATTTCCAAATTTAAGCGACATGTTGTTTAGTTTTGGAAGGAATGGTCATTCGGGTGGCCATTTGAAACGTTGCCGGATTGACTTTATTTCCGTGTTCTTGTAGTGTGAAGTGAGCGTAGAACCTTGAGGTTACGTACACTACAACATTCAATATAGGAGCATGGAAATGTTTGAAAATTAATGGAAGAAAACTTGAGCGAAATTGTGAAGAGCTTCTACATAAAAGACATACTAACAATGACTCAACGATACTAATAACATACATAACCTTCACGAATCACGCGTACCTCTTCTATAATGTTTTATGTTTATTGCGCCATAAATAATTTTTAAAATATCGTATTTTTTAAGAAAATGTATATGCTCCTAACCAGAGCGAGAGCCTACTACAATATAACTACGTGCAGTCGCCTGCGATTGCTGATACACGTTTCATAAAACGTATAGCTATCACTAAATAATTATAGCTAAGTAGAATGGGATTGGCGATACTTTACAAAATAAAATGAGAAAATTTAATAAATTTAAAAAATAAATGGCTAAATGCCTGTATGTTTATACCCGCACGCTTATAGCTCTACAGAAAGTAACCGGCTGCTTTCGTGACGTCAGCAATTGCTGACGAGGCTCGTAGTTTGTAAGCTCTGTCCTAAGCCTAAGTGTTTGTTTACAATGAACGTATACGTAAATATTTCATAAACCTTAACTCGTACATATTTGTATCGTTTCCGTAAATTTACTTCACTGTTTACAATAAACCAAAAATCATACTACTGATCTTTGACCGTACGTAACTTTGAACCATTTTCAACTTCCTTTCATTGTAAGAAGCGTTAACGCATGCGCTTTTGACAGAGTCACGTTAATATCTAGACAAAAGTTTATCATTTGGCATAATACAAATTTTTTGTTTAACTATATATAAATGTGGTGGTTAGTTAGGTTAGGTGTCAACTGTCAAAAAACGAAAAAAGTTAAATAGACTAGAAATAAGTAATCCGTTTTTTATTAATGGTTAACAACGGAAAGATATTTCAAATTAACAATACAACCCAAGATAATTGTGTGGTTTAGGAATATAACAGTTTCCCAAAGTTAACTAATTAGTTATATTTGCTATTTAAAATCATTCGAAATGATGTTAGAAATTGATAACTGGATAGAGATCGCTAAACAATGTAAATATTTACCAGAAAACGACTTAAAAAAGTTGTGTGATATAGTTAGTGAAATTTTATTAGAAGAATCGAATGTACAGCCGGTTTCGACACCTGTAACAGTTTGTGGTGACATTCATGGTCAGGTATGTAACATTCAGTTCTGGGGTAGCTATTAGCTATCTAATCGATATTTTCATTTAAGTTTTACGATTTGGAAGAATTATTTCGTCGGGGTGGCCAAGTTCCAGACACAAATTACATATTTCTCGGCGATTTCGTGGATAGAGGATATTATAGTTTAGAAACTTTTACAAGATTGTTGACATTAAAGGCGAAATATCCTGATAAGATTACTTTGCTTAGAGGAAACCATGAAAGTCGACAAATCACTCAGGTGTACGGGTTTTATGATGAATGTTTGACAAAGTATGGCAATATTAATGCGTGGAAGTATTGTTGCAATGTATTTGATCTGTTAACTGTGGCAGCGGTAAGTGTGTGGGAGCAAATTTATTTCCATTCGCTAAGAAGAATTTTTATAGTTGATAGACGAGAAAATTTTATGTGTTCATGGTGGTCTAAGCCCTCGCATTACTACAGTGGACCAAATTAGATGCTTAGAACGAAATCAAGAAATTCCACATACAGGACCTTTCTGTGATTTGGTGTGGTCAGATCCGGAAGATATTGCAACATGGTGTGTATTAATGAGAGGTGGTTAACTAAAAATTGTGTATGTTATGGTCTCGGTTATAGTTGAAGTATTGAGTTAGCGGATTATTCATAATAACTGGTTGATGTAGCTTTTTGTCTTTTAAAATGTAGGGAAGGAACACTACAATTCATAGTAGGCTTTGATTTAAAAAAACCGACTTTTCCTTCCGAGTTGTTAAATTATTAGTTAGTAATTTTGAATGATGTGCAATATCAGCTGTTTTATTAGTGGAGATATCTTTTGGAAATTTTAATCACAGATGCTTTTGTTAAAGGCAAACATATTTGATATTGCAAACATTAGACATGTACACCTCAATATGTACGCATGCGCAGTCAGTGCCTACTTCTTTATTTATGAAGATCTTTTTTTGAAATTTTAACCATATATGCCTCTAGTAAAGAAAACCCGAGCGCATATAGCTATGGTCTTTTGGGAAGTACTGATCGATTCATGCAAAATGCGCTGAAGTTGCTCGCCTTAGGGCGAAAACCTGTTTACTTGTTTGAATCCACCTGCAAAATTTCATCGTAATTGATCCATCCCTTCTCTTTTAAATTAATGGGTATGAACCCATCGAGCAAGCGGGCGATTGTACGATTGGGAGAAAGCATAACGTCTCGTTTAAAATAGTAGGTTCAGTTGCCCACCACACTTCCACTAGTGGAGTGGAGGTTCGCTCGCGTATATTTCAAAACGAAGGGCAACAGAAATAACGGTAAAAGATGGATATATCCCCTCGTGGGGGTTTTTGTGGAAAATTTAGCCCTCTACAATTTATCTTCTGTAAATTTCTTCTATCTTTTTTGTTATGCCCCGTGTTTGGAAATAAATGCACGCGATTATGATTACCGTAAAAAAACGGCATAAGTATCCACTAGTAGAGGTGCCTAAATTTTTGGCAAAATTCTTTACGTTGATACTATGTGATTTTAGTAGAGTTTCTCTAAAAAAAATTTCCAATAGTGTGCAAAGAAGATTTGCAGAAAACTTCTGGTGAACTCCTATGAAGATTGAGAAAGTTTCAAGATAGGTGCTGGTCAGCTTGTGGTAGTTAATCCGAGTACTACCTGAGGGTTCCCCGTTTGGGCAAAATCCTGCCCACTAAAAAATAAAGTCGTATAATAATAAAATAACGATTTCAGAAAATATGACTTGTTCCTTTATAAGTTTTTCCAAGATTTATAGGACGCCCCCCTATGATGTCAGCACAGCATTTTGTACTGGTTGCCATTTACCTTAGCCGCAGGTCCGTAGCTAGAACGAAAATTGTAAGGGTACAAACGAACTGTTGGAGGGTGCACTTATTGCTTACAAAAATGAAGTCTCGAGACACTTGTTTGTCAAAAAAGCAAAAAATATGCACAAAACCAAATTTTGAAATTGGCGTTCGATTTTCTTTGAGTCCAAGTGGCTAGGTATCAAATTCCATTTAAATACCTTCATAAATAAGAAACGGACGGACGGACAAAACACAAACAATAGCACATTTTTTTTAATTCTTAAAAAATTCGCTAAAAATAACTTAAAAAATGTAAGAAAGGAATAACTTTATTCTTAGGCTATTTGATTCAATTCACCGACGCTGACGCACCAACTGCGAGTGCGAGACTGCGACTGCAACAGCAGTGCCGGTGCTGCAAACATAATTTATTATTACATTATATTACGATGCTCAATAGATTCCACGTAACCTCTGGCTGGCGTACGATGTAATCGGCGATGTTGCCAACTTGTCAAGCAAGAAACAAGACTAGAACTAGAATGTCCATAACTTCAGATTTCAGATATGCATTTAAACTTGTTACTTTTGTATCAAATTGCATAATTCTAATAACCATTATTGTACTCATACTACAAAATGTAGTATGTAGGTATTATACGAGGTATTATAATTATCAAGAATAATCATTTTTATTCAATTTTATTGTAATAATTATGAACAACAATAATATTGTATATTTGTGATAATTAATTTACAATGTACAAAAATTACACTATTGTACATTTTTATTTTACGATTCTGATCATGACCAGTCAGAGGGTGCCACCCCCCTGGCTACGGCCCTGCCTTAGCGGCGCTACTGGCAGTAATTTGTTTGCAACTAGTAAAACGGTCAGTGAAGAAAAATGGATGCTTAGTTGTACAGGAGTCTCGTAACTGTCTCAATTCCTTGAAAATGCACTCCATACCATTAGAATGGGCTGAGAACCTAATCGAATAATATTTTAATTATGTATTTATTATTTCAACAACAACTGAATAGAAACTGAGTGAAACTTATTATATTCCTATAGTTCAAGAAATTATACTTTTTAGGATAACTGTCTTTTTTCTGTTGCAGGGCAAATAGTCCTCGAGGGGCTGGTTACTTATTTGGTGCACATGCAACATACGACTTTATGCAGATTAACTCATTGAGTTTAATATGTCGAGCTCATCAGTTAGTGCATGAAGGTGATATAATTTTTTTAATTGCAAGTTTGGATTACTCAATTGCTATAAATAAATGACATATGCAGAGCTGTATTTCAAAATGAATTACTGATGAATGAATGAATTTTGATGAAAAATGAAAAAAAGTCAAAGCACGTCCATTTAGATAACTAGGGGGAAGGTTTACCTTAATGTTAGCATTGACACCCACATTCCCAGCTACACCAACTTTAATATTATTCGAAAGGCGATAAAAGTTCCCTTTACAGAAATATCCACCAATCAAATTTTGAAGAACGGAATGCATGTTATGAATGCTCAGAATGGTCGAAACGGATACACAGACAACAATACAGTCTGGGTCGAGGTCTGGGTTGAAATACTTCACATTTGTGTGCTATTCTGGGTCTTAGCTCTTGAATATTCTTAGATACAGCGGTATACACTACCATTTTCAAATGTCGCCAAACAAAGAAATCAAGGAAAGTTGAGCTGGAGGATCGTGGTAGCCATTCTATGGCACTCCATCTGCCACTCCATTTACTTGGATATCATCGATTCAGCCACTGCCTAACAGCCAGGGCATAATGTGGCAGAGCTCCATCTTGGTGAAACTTGACTTTCCGAAGATTGTGTGATGAGTCACATCGCTCAATATATTCTGAAAAAATTCCTCTCGAATTTCCACCCAGGAGTCTGATTACCAAGAATATCTGGATTAATCTTCTACGAAAATTGAGTGTGATCTTTTCAAAACAAGTATTGATTTGCGTTATCCCAATACCTACAAATCCCTTGCTATCTAAATGGACGTGATTTTGTAATTTTTTAAATCAAAATTACAAATAACAATCGTTGGTTCATTTTCAAATGAAATTGCTGTAATATTCGGAATTGCATGACACCATTGTCACCTTCAACAATGTTTCCAAATTTTTTAAGCTTGGGGCCAGCACTACGTTAATCCATACTACACCAAGTGTATATTGTGAAAATTTTCCATGTGATATATTCTAATTAATTGTTTCGTTTCAGGATATAAATACATGTTTAAAAAAAAATTGGTTACCATATGGTCAGCTCCCAATTATTGTTATCGCTGCGGTAATGTTGCAAGTATTATTGATTTTCAAACACCCGAGGTGTCTGAACCCAAAATATTTCATGCAGTGCCAGACTCCGAAAGAGTTATACCAAGTCGTAATGTAACTCCTTATTTTCTATAGTTCATTCTCATTGCAAATGTAAACAACATTTTAAAAAATAAATACTGCTATTGTGTAAAAGTTATTGTAATTTTATGCCAGATGTCGTAGCTTTTGTATGAGATTTTACATAGGGTTTTGTGAAGAATGTATAACTAATCGGATGAATGTACATTGTACGTACACACTTACAAGGTACTTACAGATGAATTTTTCCCAACTGTTAGCATGGAAATCTCAAAAATTAATGAGATAATGAGACGATTAAATAAGAGGAGAATTGCAGTTTTGCAAGCTCAGTTTAATTTGGATTTGTGGAAAAAGAAATCATCCTTTGACGTCTATAACTGTGTTTTTACAGGCATTCCAAAAAATATATAACAAAAAAGCTTCCACCTTTAACCCAAGGTACCACACAAATATATCGCGAGTGAGTTGGCTGAAAAATTCCTGGATGAACTATTATTAAATTAAAAACTGACTTCAGCCATGAGTTCAACTAATGAATTTAATACCAACCGGTTACTGAAAATATGAATCCTATAGAATAATATAAACCGTTGGGTTGTCGATTTTTTTCCTGCAGTAGGTAGCTACTGGCAGGGCCGTAAAGAAGGAGGGTGGACTCCCCCTCACCTTAGGATGGAGTTGGCATTTTTTATCCTTATATGGTAACATATCAAAGTTTCCGAGTGATGGCAAGAATAGATTTAATGGTATGGAGTTCCTGAAATACAGTAGGTACAGAAAGAGACGCTGTATTTTGTTGTTTGTTCGCTCTTCCCTTTCGGAGCTGGAATGCAAAACGCAGATAAAGGCTGAACGACGGATGGAGTGTGCTGTGAAGCAGTGGGGTAAAATGAAGAATTCTGGAAAACAATTGCGCTCTATTTACTCAAAAAAACTCCCTGAACTATATACAGTGAATTTAAATTAAAAAATTAGTAAATTTAAATGCGAACATACGAGTTTGCATGCAATGTAATTTCCCTATGTTCGATTTTTAAAAAAACATCAATCTATTGAGTAGTTCAAATGAGTAGTAGATACAATTGACAGCGTGCTTGTCATTGGTGCTGTCTTATTTTTTAAAATATTGCCGTCCAATTTAATTTCGAAATCGGTTGATACGATACAAGAATTGGACCGGCCTTTTAAATGTTGTATCCTTTTTTGAAATTGTTGGCCCATTAAGGTTAATCAAATGTTCAAAATCTGTTGAATGGACCCTAGTAAAGTTTTTGTATAAACCACTCACTGACTGAAAATTTAAGTCTGCAAACAAACTCCGTGGTTTTCTTTTCTTCTCGTTCGTGCATAGTGAATGTAAATATACGCGGCATAGACAAATTCATTTTTTAATAATACCACAACCTTCAGACACAGCTAAGCTGTGCTTCAGAGGCGAAAAACTGTGATACAATGAATTAACCCAATTGACTCTCCGTGTCTTTTTTTGATACGGATACTTTGTGCTGTCTGGAGTTGCGTAGCTGTTGCACCGTGTCGTGTCAAGGATGCGATACACACACACGATACGAAGATACGCAACAAGTCTGGATCGGCCTGAAACTCAGAGTAAGAAATAAAGATAAGAGATGCTGATGCTTATCTATGCGTGCCATCATTACGTTTGTTTACTAACATTGCAGGAGGCTAAGTTGTCACATTTCACGAGATAGTTTTTAAGGGAATATTAATAACATATGCATCTGGAGTAATCTAAATGGATTTTTAGATGCTTATAAGTTATAAGAGTTCAGTAACTCAAACAATTTTAACTTACAATTAAACGGCGTAACAAGAAAAGTTATGGTGATTAGTGCACCACGCGGCAACGCTGTAACTTTGTTTTCCGTTGAGAGGTATTTTGTTTATTTCGTTAAAACGTGATTCCTTAATTTTTAGGCGTTTTTATAGTGCAGGACTTATTCGATTTATGGTGTATTAATTTATGGGAGCCCTTTGAAATGGGGAAAAGCTGTATTATTTGTGGAATTATTGAATTACCTAACATAACCTTTCATCGGTATGTGTTTTGAAGTCATAGACGTGCATACGGGAATTTTCGCATTTTAATGTGTTTAGATTTCCTTCTAAGTTCCCACTTTGAAGTATCACCATACCTTATCATAGATCAATAGGGACCTTTCAAACACATACAGCTTTTCATCATAAATATTTAGTGATACGTTATTACGTTTGCACATGTAAACAAAACATAAACTTTGTTGCCCATAAAGATAAATAAACCCTACGCCACTGACTAATGTTTACTTTCGTCCTCTCAACGGTCAAATTAACTGAGATGTTGGTTCAAAACAAACGTTCACGTTGTTATAGCGTACGCGTACTCTATCTTTATTTCTTATTCTTTCTGAGGCCTGAAACGTGTACCTAACCTACATAATATAATACCATGTGAACGACAGATGGTGCGCAGTAAAAGATCGCAGCAGGTAAACGCGCTGTCTCACTCGCATTTACGTGAACAGTTGTCGCCTCGCTCTCGCATCTATAGCAGAGTGTTAGAGGCACCCACAGAAAAACTTTTAGCTTTTAAAAAATGACGAAGGTCTGGTCGTCGTGGGCTCTTACCCTATTAAGGGGTTGATTCTGATTTCTGTTCCACCAGATCAGCATAGCTTGTAAAACAAATTTTTGGATCGGCATTAGTTTTACTTTTATTCGAGGTGCTTACATACAAAATGTAATGCAAATCGGTTCATAACTAACGGAGATGTCAAAAAATCGGATTGCGCATGCGCAAACCAAATTTTAAAGTCACTAAATACAGAAAGTACCGCAATCCATTGGGCTCGTGTGTTAGAGAGAGAACGCATGATTTTTGGCCAAAAATGGCGGAAGTTACCAGATTCTAGTAACTTTAATGTTAGGGATTGTTCCACCTGTTTGGAGATATCTGTATATATTTTTCTTAGACTATGAAAGAGAGATATTTTTATAAAACATGACAGTACTATGAAGTTAGGTTATAAAAAATTACAGCTATTCAGACATTATTTGTCAATTTTTTTAAGTTGGCAGCAAATTTGCGCAAAAATGGCGGATGATTGCGGTACTTTCTATATCTAGTAACTTTACCAAATTTTTTGGTAGAGTGCTCCGTGGCAGAAATTATGACTTCCGTGGGGGTTATGTCACAAGCTGAAATTCACAAAAAATGAAAGGTCATCATATACTGATTCTAAATGTCAAGGCCGTCCAAAATCGGTCCATGCAATAGAGCACAAAACGTGAAAAACGAGTTCAGCACATGTACGGAAAGAAGAAAAAATATCGAATTTTTTCGTATATAAATCAAAATGTTCTTTGTACAGGGAAAATAATAAGAAATTATCAAAGGTTTGAATTACTACGGAAGAATTAAACTTCAAACGCGATTGTCTCAGTTCGATTATCCCTAAAAATTTGACAAATTTTGAGCAACTTTTGCGTTTACATCGTATTATTTAATAAACGGAAGCCTAAATCAAAAAGTTTTACTCTTAAAAAAAGTTTCACTCATCGTTTATCTTTACATTGCACTGAGAATTATAATTTTATCTGCAATAGTAACTAAAATATGTAATTAAAAGTAAAACAACGAACTTTTTACTCACTGTTTAAGGGTGTATTTTTAAATCAAAATATGGCACCTCGAAAAAATGTTTATTTTGCCGCCGGCCTACCCCAGTTTGGTAGAGTCCCGCCTTTACATTAACACTCACTATCGCGCACCCAGTGACACGACGCTTTATAAAGTCTGACAATCAAAGATAATTTAGCATCTTATTGGATTTATTCTTTTTATTAATCCCTATTGTAGTGATCGGCACAGGGCCCCCGCTCTGGGCTCCATGCCTAAATCCGCCCCTAAAAATAAGTAAACAATCTAAAGTTTCTACATGCGGTCAGACTACATCATGAGAATAGGTAGGTAGGTGGGTACGTTTTTTCTTTGCACCTCACATACGAATAGATGGTGAAAAACCATGATATCTAATTATCTACACCTATTTCCGACTTAGAAAATTACATAAACACCCATTTAAGTAGTTATAGGTATATGTATGTTATGCTATTATAATTAAGATTCCCAAAAATGGTAACATAACATGCTTATTAAAGGTTTGTAAATTCAGTGTTTACCTCATCGTCTGTGGTAAACCTGTGTCCCTATGTATATTAATGAATTACATTTATTTTTTCGTTCACAAATTCTTTGAAATGTCTACATTAATATAATATAGGATCCGCCTGTGTGTGGCGCATTCATAATTTGAAGAATTGATTGATTACTCATTTGCTGCGGTATAATGAATATAACCAGATGATTAAACATAAAGAATTTCTATTTAAATTCGTAGGTATTACAAAATATGTACAACTTTTCAAGGACAAGGTGTTTGGTTATAGGTGGAATTCCCATATAAGTATACTAGTTTACAAAATGTAAAACGCCAATTTCAGTCAGTTCTGTTCAAATTTGATCTGTTTGTAGGCACTCCAGTATAGCCATGAAGATTTTGTACGCAGTTTTATTATGTATGTATTTAAAACTATATTTTCTTGTCTGTTAGCCTACTACAAATATATAGTAGGTACCTGATACAAAGTAACGTATATTACAATGTCACACATTTACTATTATTTATTATTATTGCAGTTAATGATAGCATCGTATGTGCTGTGAATTACGCATAGCCATATTCATACAATACTTGCTAATTTTAATTGCTATACCAAATGTAATAAGTAACATTAGATAGGGACTTACATAATATGAAATACCTACAGTTGGAAACAAAAACAATAGATGCACAGCACTTTTACTACCTAATGATGGAAACGCAGCACTTTTCCTTCAAGTAAAATGTAGGTACTTTATTAACTGTAAGTAATTCGATACTAGGTATAAGTGAATTTCAAAATTGTTAGCGCATTATTTAAAAAATTTAATGGGCGATTACGACCGTTTTTTTTTTACTTCATTGTAGTAGCCCAGACAATTGTGGTCTTAGCATTGAATTTATAGTAGTAGCAATATACAATGGTAGTAGCAAAGAATACTTGTTACTCTTTGGTAAACACACATAAATATACCTAGTCTATGGTTAGTAGCCCTCAACGGATGCAATTTAAAACAAGTTGTAAATCAGCATATGCATGATTAAAGCGCATTTTTGGTAATGCAGGTCAGTATTTTATTAGCGAAGTTTAAAATTATCGATCTCACGAGTAATTTTGGCTGCGTTAAATAATTAATTTTATTTAATTTCAATTAAGGGTACGTCTTCATTTTGTAAAACAAATCACAATCCCCTATCTAACGGTAAAATTATAGCACCTCCGAAACCCATATCGAAATTATTTTCTTCAATTATCGATCTCACAAGTAATCTAACTCAAAATAGACTAGTGCCTGCACATCTACACTATAGCAGAAAGCTTTTAGTGAAAATTTGAATTTTCTAGCTATTGTAGTTGTGGAGATCTCACGCGGACAGCCGGCCTGCCAGCCATAACGAATATAATAGCGTATTTTTTTCAAAAATGCGCTAAAAATGAAATTTCACCATTAGCCCAGTCGTCAGGTATTTTTACCTAAAAATAATTCAAGGAGTTTTGATTTCTGGTGCATGGTGTAAGGTCAAGTGTCAAAAACAACCAATTCATTTTGCGACCTCGAACTCCTTGTGGAAATTGTAAAAAAAATCGTGTTTTGTTGGAAAAATTGATTTTTGGCAAATATTTCGGTTCTCGTGCGTTTTAGGAAAAATATTCACCTATACAAAAATGAAGGGGACAAAATTCTCTTTAATTTATGTCCCATTCATTTTTGCTGTAAAGTTAATTGTTTCGATGCGGCGGGTCTGTAAATGTACCTACAAACTGGGGATGGAAAATAAATGACAGTGGACTATAACTTCTTCCAGTTACTACATTGCAGGCCCCCGCTGCAGGAAAACTGAATTAAAATGCAGTAACGTATGTGGATGCATTAACGGTGACTCCTGCGATAATGCGCAACACTTGATTCCTGAAAATGATGATGAAGATGCGCTCCGATAACTATTATGGGCCAAATAATAGAAGAATTGGATGACGAGCAAGAATGCGAATCTAATGAGGAGAGAAGTGACCTCGGAAGTGATGAATCAGAACCTGAAAATATTGAAAAACCAGGACCATCGAGAAAGACAAAGCGAAGGAAACTCTATTAAATTCGCTTCGTGAATTAGGCCACAGAAAACAAACGAATCAGGAATTTGTATACAATTGCGATAAAAAATACTTACATTTACAGACCCGCTACATCGAAACTATCAACTTTACAGCAAAAATGAATGGAATATAAATTAAAGAGAATTTTATCCCCTTCATTTATTCATCATTAGGTGAATATTTTTCCTAAAACACACGAGAACCGAAATATTTGGCAAAAATAAATTTTTTCAACAAAACACGAGTTTTTTTACAATTTCCACAGGGATTTCGAGGTCGCAAAATGAATATGTTTACCTTACACCATACACAAAGAAATCAAAACTCCTTGAATTATTTTTGGATAGAACCCCTTTTATTGCTCTGACGACTGGACTACATACTGAATTCATAATTGCTTTACCCGCCCATCTGTTCTCATTTCATAAGTTTGTATTTATATTTCTTTCATCTATCAATTGGAGAAAAAAAACTTGAAATGTTCATGATATATTAACGAGGACCCAAGCTCGTTCATAATTTTGGACTTTCTGTCAATTTCGAATTTTCCAATTTTGTTTTCAGTAGTGAGTAGACAATAGTCAAGGGACTAACTCTAACCTAATTTCATATTCAAAGCCCTAACGGATTAAAGTTTGATCATTTGGACTATCTCTCCGTCCGCATGTGATTGTCGCTCGTTGTTTATATTGGTTTGAACAGTTTATTAACGAGCTCCTAGCGAGTTTATAATTTCGCGGTGTCTGTCCGTCCGTAGCACGATATCTCGATAACGAATGGACCGATTACGATGAAATTTTGTAGGTGGATTCTTTATTAAATTTGTAGATCGGAGTTCGTGAATTGGCAATGTAACCCAAAAAATAAGGAAGGCCCTTTTGACATCTCCGTGAATTATGAACCGAATTGCATGAAATTCAATATGCGTACAGCTTTAGCCATATAAAACGCAATTCCAAAAATTGAGCCTAATCGATCAACATTTATAAACCGATTTGCAAACTTTTTTATTTATGAAAGTATTTAAATGAAATTTGATACATAGCCACTTGGAATAAAACCAAATATAACGCCAGTTTCAAAATTTCGTTTTGCGCATGCGCAGTGCCAACTTTGTTATTTATGAAGGGATTTAAATGAAATTGGATACATAGCCACTTGGAATGAAAGCAAATGTAACGCCATTTTCCAAATTTGGTTTTGTGTGGAATGTGCAGTGCCAACTTTCTTATTTATGGAAGCAATTAAATGAAATTTCATACATATACACTTTAAATAAAAGCAAAACTAATATCAGGTTTAAAATTTGGTTTTGCACATGCTATAGCCATACCCAGGAGCTCGTTTTCTATATTTGTTTAGTTTATTTACCTACCGTTAATTTGCGCTTTTGATGAAAACGATATCCTAAACGATAACAAATTATTGCAATGCGTAATTAAAAATGTAATTTCGCTGGGTTAGTACGGTTTGTTCTGTGTTCACCTAGTTTCAATGTGTTTGTTTACTGCGATTTTCCTTCGTATATTTTGTCGGTCCCTCCGTGCACGATAAAACTTTTATTTGTTACTAAGTTGTAAACGTTGATTAACAAGACAAAACGCAAACGGGTAAACGTCATGTTTAAACGCTACTGACTTGTAAAACTGACAGCAGACCTGTAAAACTGACAGCAGACCTGTAAATACTTGATCTGATCGATTTCTGACTTACGCGAATGATAGCGTCAAATTATTTATTTGTTACTCAGTTGTAAACGTTGATTAACAAGACAAAACGCAAACGGGTAAACGTCATGTTTAAACGCTACTGACTTGTAAAACTGACAGCAGACTTGTAAAACTGATAGCAGACCTGTAAAAATTTTACAAGTTAGTAATCTAGTAATTTCATTGGCCAGAATTAATGCGAAGTCTCTGTTACATGGATCACATGATATTTTAGACATTTCTTCAAGATCAATTTAAGAACTAATTATTTACGTTTACAAATGAGTAACAAATAAAATATTGTACATTATACGCCAGGTAATAGTTTTTACTGGCTCTAGGAGATGATAGGCTCGCCTAACGGCTCGCCAGTCAACTTCTCCTATCGCCAGTAAAAACTCACTTACCTGGCTAATAATGTAAAATACTATAACGATCCTCCAAATCGTTTACAATTTTGTATTGTTGTCTCTGTCCGTGTGCACGATAACTTTGTGCGACCCTTTGAAAATTGGTACCTACACATGTTCTATTGATGTTTTTCAGTTACCTACGTAGTTGTAGTTAGATGCTTGCTTTAAGATCTCGAGGATCGGATCTTTATTATCGAAAGTGTTGCGATGTTAGCGTATTTACCTGAAAGCTCATAGGTACTTGCGTGAATTCCGTCTTTTGATTAACGTAAAGTGGGCGAAAAAAATAATTTGTTGACAAAATTCCGGTGTGAGCGATTTCAACATCAAACTTCAAAAAGCGAATTGTCTGTTTTAGAATTTTGAAATTGTCACTTGTAGCTAGTCTTGGTGGTGGTAGAAGAAGTGTGCTTGTTTAGAATGTTTCCAGAGCCCGGATATCTTCTATTTTTTTAGCCAATTCGTTTTGCTTTTGCTAGCGCTGGATTGATAATTTATAGAACGTTGTTTTACAAATTACACTTTCAAACGGTAATTTTAGATGATCCACAACCGAACAATTACAATGACCCGAGTGCTGAGAATGTCACCTGTTAATATACCTAAGCAAGCTTATCACGATCCACCATATTCCGTACAACGCGCCATTCCCCAAAACTTTAAATACTATTATGTATTATTGTATTATTATACAAAACGATAAAGGGATATTTTAACCATTGAGTGAATTAACTTTCACAGATGATTAGTTCCCTTTATCGTCGTGTATAATACAAAACTTTATTTTATAACAGAATTATAAACCATTGTAAAGCTTCTGACAGCTCTGAATTTAATTTAGAGATGTCAAAAATAGTAAGCTTCTGGCTTCACAACCGTCTATAATTACCTGGCGTCGTGATCGTTTCTATAGAAACAGAATTGTCATATATTCTGAACGTCATTTTCGGTACACGTCAACTCGCCAAGGGCGACTCGCCACCGGCCACTCGCCACCGACTGACTCGCCAACGGGACAACTCGCCAACGCGACAACTCGCCAATGCGACAACTCGCCAACGGACGACTCACCACTGCGGCAACTCGCCAACGAAATATTTTTCCCTGTTTAATGTGTCGTTCAAATAACGATGTGATTGTAAAATTTTCTGTTCAAATAATAATTTGCAGAAGATGTCGTTATATCAAAATGCAGTAA